TTTTTTATATTAATTGAAAACATTTAATTAATTAAAAAGATTTTTCGTTTGGATGTGTAATAGTGATTTTATTGGTATCTAAATTACTGTACAAATTAACTATTCATCCTTATTTTTGAAAAAAAATATTGCAATTTTATAAATTTTTGACAAATTTCAAAAAATATTTTTTTTAAAAATTGCCAATAAATTCGAACATTTTGGAAATTTTTTAACACATTTATTACTTTTGCATAATTTGAAATAAATTGAATATAATGCGTATGATTTGATGATAGTGAACATGAAAGAGAAATTGATATGATTAGAAAATGAAACTTTATGAGAGATTCATTAGCATAATGCATCTCAGCTTGAAGGAAAGGAAGACTACAGGTTAAAGGTCAGGAAGTATTGAGGAACGGTGATATATGGTTGAGAATTATTAAGATTTCTTTTTTTTCTTTCTTTTGCATTTCATGAATTTATGGTGATAAGCAAAGAAATATTGTCAATGATTGTATCGAAATACTCTATTATAATTTAATTGTACCTAAATTTGCATTTCATTAAAAGGTCAGGTAAAGATATGAAGATAAGAAATGTAATGTAAAGTTAAGAATTCTCGATGTGCGGGACATTGAATACTGTAATCATTCGCATATTTACATATATATTTCTGGTATTAATAAAAAATTTTTGAGCAAATAATAAGTGATAAACGCGAAAAATCTTTGTAAAAACGAATAAAATAAGTTCATTTTAATTTCATTGCTAAAATTCATTTTAAAAAAATTTTAAAAGAATTTGACTAAACTTTTTTTTTGGTGTAAAATTTTAATTTTAATTTGATTCGATGTAATTGCTTTATTACAAAAGATGCATGTCATCTTTTTCTTTTCTTTTATCATCTATTGATATCAGCAAGTGATAACTTCAAACAATGCGATGATTTAATCACCTTTTCAGGAACATTTAATATCACTTTTACGAAAATTGATAATACGTTTTCAACCTTTACCATGTCAAACAGCTTATACATTAATGAATTATTTCGTAAGTTTTGCTAGTTTTTATCCAAATATGATATTTTAAAATTCGAAGCAATTTTAATTCAACTGAATTTCAATCCGATTGAAACAATTTTAAAAACTTTTTCTTTTTCAGATTTAAGATTTAAGATTTTACTATCAAATTCAATTATATGTTTATAGTTATCCTTTTTTTTTTAGTATTTATTGAAAAATTACAAATATTTTTGTTTACAGTTTGGTTTTGTAATGCATTATGTGCGAAGTCCATGTGATGGAAGTGATCAAGCAATTGCAATGGCATTAAGTATAATATGGCTTATTGTGCCGAATGTTCATGGATTGTACTTTAAGGATTTAAAGCAAACATTAAAGAAGGAACAATGTGATGTAAGTAATAAATTTAAATTAAATGCATTTCATGCTAATGATGAATGAATGAATAAATAAATGAATGGATGAATGAAATGAAACGAAATGAATGAATGAATGAATATGAATGGATGAGAGAAATGACATGAATGGATGAAATGGAATAAAGTGAATGAAATGAATGAGTGAATGGAATAGAATAAATGAATGAATGAATATATATGAATTTATGGATGAATGGATGGATAAATGGAAGAATGAATATGTGAATTAATTAATAGATAAATGGATAAATGAATGGATGAATGAAATGAAATGAAGTGAATGAATGAATGAATGGAATGAATCGAAATGAATGAATGAATGAATACGACAAAACTAATAAAACTAATGCTATATTCATCAGAAAAAGTCATTCCTTTCAGAAAAACGATCATTTTTAAATGTTACCTTAATTTTTGCTTATATTTATTTCATTTTGTATTATTTAATGGCTCAAAAAATCGAATAAAAAGCCCTTATGCGTATTTCATAAAACAATAAAATCAATAAAAATAATTAATATTTGAAATTAATAAGGATAATCATTAATTAATAATGATGTATATATGTGGATACATATGCATATCGGATGAATCTTTTATCATTTTCTTTTTCTTAATATATACTTAATATATATCGATTTTTTTTTTTTTTTAGCAAGCATTAATGATAACGGCTAATGTTCCATCAGCAAAAAATTATCATTCATGGACCTGATAGTGGTTCCGGTGGAATTCCATCACAATTTCCAATTCATGAAGAAACACAATTCCAGCAATTACTGAAAGATAGCCTCGATTTTTTTAATATTCCCGAAAGTGATAATCAATATTATTTTCTTATTGATACAAAAACAAATCTAATTCATAATCCTTTATCATATGTTCGGTAAGTATAAATGATTCCTTTCATTTTTTCTTTTTTTTCTTTTTTTTTTTTTTATTCTGTAAAATTACAATTCGGTTTATCCGGTTTTTTAATTAATACTTCCGAATAGTACAAGCAGCACTTTTTTTTTTTTTTGGGGGAATTTAAATAATACTGGCTTTATAACAATAATATTAATGAAGTATGCATATTTTTACAAAATCTAATTTTTAATAAGTAAAATTAGTTTTTCTGATATATAAAATTTAATTTTTGAAAAATTAGTTTTTCTGATATATAAAATTTAATTTCTGATAACAGACAAACATTTCAATTATTACATGCCTCTTCACTTTCTCCCCGTATTTTGTTAATTCTCAAATATTTCCACGATACCACGGGAAGGATAAAATGGAGTAATTGAGAGAAAAGATAAGTAAAATGGAAAAATGGGAAACATTACATTATTATTATAAATTATCAAATATTTCAATGATTACATACTTCTTCAATTTTTTCCCGTATTTTGCTAAATTCTCAAATACTTCTACGATATCATAGTAGGAATGAAAATGGATGAAGCGATTAGGAAAAAAGATAAGTAAGATTGAGAGGAGAGGAATATCACCTTTATCATTGTAAAAAAATATCAATACTTTTTATCAATAAATTAATATTTAAATTAATTTTTGTTTATTCTTTAGGGATTTTTACTTCTTTCATCGTTCGTTATATCCACAATTAACATTGATTAAGTTGAATCCGGATGAAGCACATCATCGAATGCGACAAATAGCATTTACACATAAACTTATCGAAGTGGGAAAAGTACTATTAACACATAATGCACTTGCTCATAGTCCTGAAAATGTTGTAAGTTTGAAAATATTTTTATTAAATTCTTTTATTGCAATTAAATTTTTATTCTTTTTTTTTATAACATTTAAAAAATTTTTCGCGAAATTTTGTGAAATTTTTGATGAAAAAAAAAGATTTAAAATTAACAAGCACTTGAGAAAAAAAAAAAAAAGGCGGAAAATAAAATTGATTAAAGTGTTTGGAAATAAAATTAATTAATTAAAAATGATTTTTCAGATACCACAACGAATATTTTTTCTACATGATGAATTTACACATTTACCATCATTTCCACGAAAAAGTTTAGAAACATGTTTTGGTATGTATAATGGTCCATTAGGTCGTGAATTATATTCCATTGATAGTATTCATAAATTTGTTTGGACACTGGTAAACTTTTATGCTTTTTTTTGTTTTTAAAAAAAAAAAAAATGTCATTTTAAAGGGAAGCATTTTCAAAAATCATTTCATTGTATAATGCAAGATTTTAAAAGTTTATTGAAGAATTTTATAAATTTTTAAAATTGAAAGAAAAAAGACAAATACTCTCATTCTATATTATAATTTGATTTTTCAAATTTCAAAGATTAATATTTGAAAGATGAAATTTTAAAAATAAATTCAATCTTAAGCTAATGTCGGATATGTTTGCAAAAATGGAAAATGCTTTCATGTTTGGTGATTTGCATTTATTTATCAATGTTATCAATGGTGTTACCTTATTACATTGTGAAAATGTCACAATTTTACGTCGTTGTATGGCAACATACCTATCAATGGCTATACATTTTAGTACACTTTTCACTAATCAGGTAAATTTTTTGAAAATTTAAAAAAAAAGAAATTCATTCTTTACAAAATAAACATCCCTTCATACTATTATTATACTTTTATAAATATTACAATTTACCTAAAAAGTAAAAATTTTTAAATCCAAATTACGAATACTTATTTACAAAGTTTGGAATATCTTTAGTAACATTATGAAAAAGAGAAAAGGAAGGAGAAATAGAGAGAGAGAAAGAGAAAGAGAGAGAGAGATGGCGAGATTGTTAACAAAATTGATAATCGAGGAATTCTATTAAAAAAAAGAAAAATAGTCTGTATTTACTTATAAAAATATTGCTGCATTTTTTTTTTCAATCAAAAAAGACAAAAATGAAATTGCCGAAAAGTCTATCTTACTTACAAACTTTGGAATATCTTTAGTAGTAAAATTTTATAAAAGAGGAAGAGATAGAGGAAGCTGAATAGATTGTTATCAAAATTAATGATCGAAAAATTTCAAAAATAATTTTTATTATTGTATTCATATTTCTTTCATGTAGAAGAGAAAAATGAAAAGATAAAATTGCCAGAAAGTCCATTTTATATAAAGATAAAATTGGCAAAAAGTCTATTTTATTTAAAGATGAAATTACCAAGAAGTCTATTTTACTTAAAGATAAAATTGCCAAAAAGTCTATTTTATTTAAAGACAAAATTGCCAAAAAGTCTATTTTATTTAAAAATCAAATTACCAAAGAAGTCTATTTTATATAAACACAAAATTGCTAAAAAGTCTATCTTATTTAAAGATAAAATCGCCAAAAAGTCTATTTTATTTAAAGATAAAATTGCCAAAAAGTCTATTTTATTTAAAGATGAAATTGCCAAAAAGTCTATCTTATTTTCATTATTCTTTTTTTCAGGGTTTTTTCTTATCATGCCAACAATACTACGTTGTTACAGTCAACGACAAACAAATCCATTACTTTGTCGTACAATTGAATATGTTTGTAAACAATTTTATATTATTCATCGAAAACCATTCTTATTACAAATGGCTGGTGCTGTTGCAAATATTCTTGATACTACTGATAATAATTTTGAAGTAAATCCGATGAAGGTATATTACTTACTCATTCTGATATCTTATCAATTAATTGATATGAAAATTAATTTGTTCAATATTTGCCTTTTTTTTTTAATTTGAAAATTATTTAAAAATTTTTATTATAGGTAAAAGCAAAATATTGGTTTAATTTATTGCATAGCATGGAAGATATGAATGATATGAATGATCCAATTCATATATTGGATTTAGTCAATGAAACAAAACCATTAAAAGTTTGTTGATAATTTAAATTTCCTAAATTTTATTTTCGTATAATTTTACATTTCAAATTAAGTTTTGAATTTTATTTTAAGGATAATTTAGAATAAAATACATATGTAACATTCATATGGTGCATATGATGTGATTTTGAAATTTTAAAATTATTTAATATTAAGTAATATGTTTGCTAATATTTTGAATATATTTATTGCATAGTTTAATCTTTAATCAATTATTTATAATAATTTTCTTTTTTATTTATATTTATCGAATTGCATTCAAGAAATACACATATGGTATTTCAAAAATAACTAATCAATTTGCTTATTTTGAAATCATAAATAGGAATAATTAAACAAAATAATTTAAATACTTTAAATAAAATAACTCTTTGCAATAAATGAATTACATAATAATAAAAACATTTATGATAACATATTTTGATAAGGGAAATGATCGATCTGATCTGATATGATATAAATTTTTGCATATTTTATAGTATCACTATCATCCACTAAATGATTTGATAATATTTTGATACTTTTAATTAAATTAAAAATAGACGAAAAATATTTTACTTCCTTTAATATTTTGATAATTCTAGGCACTAGATTTATGTTATCGTGATGATCCAAATACATTTAGCTTATTAACAGATGCATTAGCAAGTGCTGTAACAGTATGCGCTTTTGCGCCTGAATCACGGCGCTGTTATCAGATGTTGGTAATGTTTACTTTCATATTCTTCTCCTAATATTTTTTGTTAATTTATACTTATTTCAAAATTACTACCGTATATTATTTTATCGTATGAAAGAAAAAAATTTGCCTGTTTCAAAATTATTTCAGCTTCTTACCGTATATTATTTTACAGTAAGATAAAATAAAAAAACATGGTGAAATTTTATGTTCATTCATGACCATACAGAAAAAAAAAGTGACAAGTAAGTTTTTTGCAGACTATTCTTTTTTTTGCCTTTGATATTAATTTATATTTTAATTATAGTTAGTAATGCAAGCAACAATACCGTACTTCTTGGAACAAATTGAACGGGATACGGTAAAACAGGGTAACAGTATGATTGCTGTAAAACATGAAATATCGATTTATACTACACTTTGTGTTGAAATGAAAGCACTAGTAAATTGTTGTGATATTCTTGCAAGGTTAATTTTTGTAAAAATAATTTAATTAGCAATTAACTTTTGTATATATTGAGGGAATTAAATATTCTTATTCAATAATTAATTAATGATATTTCACTAATTAATGATATTTATTTTAGAGGACCAACACGAACATTTGATATCGTTAATAGTGTCAGTGATCGAGGAAAATCCTTTATTGCTGATTCACCTCAATTCTTTGATCCACCAACATTAATTGAAGATGAAACAAAAATACATTACTCGTATATTTCTCGTTTTCCTAATTGAATAACTAGAAATGATTAAAATGAATTTTCAAGGAAATGATTAATGATTTTGTTCAGATAAGCAATTTAAGTATGTAAAAACATTTTTAAAAATATCCTAATTAATAAATTCTTAATCAAAATATCAATTTAATTAAGGATTTAGTTAGATAGAATATATTGAATGATTGATATATAGCGAGTTTTTTGATTCATAAATTCCGATTTCTTTTTTTTTTTACAATGCAACCATAAAATGATATCATCATCCTAAAAAGACATACTATCGCAAAGTTTTTCAGTTAATCTTAATTATCACAAATTTTTAATTAAAGAAAGAAAAAAACTTTTACCAAAATTTAATTAAAGAAAATTTCTGTCTAACATCAAGCATAAATTAAAAATTTACACTTTTTTTTTGATACTATTTCAGATTGATTTTCATTAATTAAAAGAATTAAAAATTAAAAATAAATAATATTTGCAGAAATGTGAAAGATAAGAAGAATGCTGTTAGCTCAGATGCTATTGATAATATTGAGGGACAACGTGAAATATTCCGTCGTCCACGTGATGCACTTCTTATACTTGCAGCTACATTTATTGAGAAAGCAAAACCACGCATAAAAGAACTTACTAAGCTTGCATCAAATATTGAACATATCAAAATTCCGGAATTATTCGATCATAAATGCTTTGTGGTAAATAGATTTCCGGAAAAAAAAAGTGCAAAATTAGCAAAAATAATTTGGAAAAATTTCAAAATTTTCGTAAATCATTTAACATTATATATTGCTAATTTTATAACTTTTTATAAGAAAAAAAAAACATCTATATGTTAATATCATTGAAAATTATCAAATATTTAATTAATTGATTTTTTAAAATGTAAAAAAATATTATTTAAATTAAAACTTATCAATTTAATCTCTGTTAGGACAATCATTTTAGAGAAATTTTGAATAATGTTAAGATTAAAAAATTTATCTTAAAATTAAAATATATTATAAAATTTACTAGCATTTGCCTTTATTTTCAGAAATTAAATGAAATTGCTCTTGCATTATTAAAAATTGCACCATATGATTTGGGTACAATAGCTTGTCTTGGATTACAAAAGTAACTCTTATCAATTCCTTTTATTTTTTCACATTGCTTATTCGTATAAAAAAACTTTGAAAAAATAATAAAAATTTAAAAAAAAAATTTTTTGAAAAATTTTAAATTTTATTTTTTTAAAAATATTAATTTAAAAATTTTAACAGATATTTCTCAGTGATATTATTAACAACTGATTGGTCAATAGAAAATAATCGACCAGCATTAAATTTTGTTTTACGACGTTTGGATAAAACAATTCAAAAGATTGGTAAAAAAATTATCTTTCGACGACGAACAAATTGGATTGCTTTAACAAATTGGCTTAATGGTTTACATCAAACACTTGTTGCCTTTCCTTATATTGCTCATTCACATCCTCTAAAGGTATTTTAATTATTTCAACTAAATTTCTATAATAGAATTTTCTTTCTTTTTTTTTACTCAATGATGAATAAAATTTAAGTTATATTTTTTAAAAATTCAAAAAGAAAGAAAATAAATAAGTAAACATATTAATTCAAATATAATCAATTTCTTTTTTTTATTTTCCATTTTTCAGTCTACAACATTAATGTGTTTACGAATAATGATCGGTGATCCATTAAATGATGATCTTTTCACTCAATCAAATACTACCTTTCAACCGTTTTACATGGTACTTGTCCACCTCAACCATTTGTACTGCAGTCCTTAA